TCATTAAATGGCCCTGATCTGTCCAAAGGCATTAATAAACCATGCACTTTTCAAATACTTCTTTAACTGATAACAGTAGTTCAGAGTTATGTGAGTTTCAAAATGAGTTTTACAGCCCCTGAATCTTGTTATTGTTTTCAAATCTATGTCCCGCCCTCCACCGTTTCACCAATCAGAAAGTCCGTGATCCGGGTTGCCAGAACTCACTGCTCCGAGCTAATCTCACAGTCAAAGTAAGGCCACAGTACTATAACGGTGTCATTATGATTCTCCAATCAATAATGACAAAACAAGGAATAAAACTGGATTTCTATCTTTGCGAAAAAGGTGTTTGTTGACAAATCTCTATTGTCTATTCAGTTATTATGGACCCAGCTGGATTCGTCTGCATATCTGGCAACCTGAGTCAGGGAGAGTGAGAGACGTTGCAGAGATGTTGTTATTTAAAGGTCCTATATCACGCTTTTCTTCATGTTTCACACTCAATCCTATGCACATGTGTGATATTAATGTGTATGATACACCACACAACAATCAAAGCTTGTGAGATTAGAGCCATCTCTTGTATAGAGGTGACGTCACCTCGACTCAAACGAGCTGATCCAGAGAAGAGTCTGCTCCTCTGTCCGTGAGCCCGCCTCCCCCCGCCCACACGGTGACGTAGCATCACGCATCACCTGTACTTAGTAATTTCATACATAAGAATACACTTTTTCCAACAATGACAATCCGTCACATCGAGCCCTATGTCCTCGATGCACAATCAGACCCTAGTTATTTAGTTTACAGAAGTATACAGCGAGTTAGCGTCACTACTTACAGATCGAGGGGGTCCGAGTTACGTCTTTTACCGTGGGAATAACGTGTTTCCAGATCAGCTTTTGAGTAAGTCCAGTTCCATTGTCCCTGTAGTTCTGGAACAGTCTCAGTGAAGTGTCGCAGATGAACCGGTATTATAATAGATCCATGAGATGAACAGATGAAAAAAGTCGAGCCGCTTTCTTCCTCTTCGGGCCAAATAGTGTGTCACATATTTACACCCATAACACACTTCATTCAAGTTGACGTGATCCTAACACTTTTAGTCGCTGACAAAAGCATAAAAACAGCAGCTCTATGTGGTGTCCGCGAGACCAGACCACAGACGCTGGACTCGGGAGCCGGAGCCTGTGCGCTCTGATTCGCTGTTTTGATTCGTCAATCACCTCCCGCCGGCTTTTAATTTATTTTTATTATTTTTGACAAAAAACAGCATACTAATTGTGTATTGTTTACCCCGTTTTGACAAAAGTATTTAAAATCTATTTTAAATACAAAGCAAACGGGGTCATGCGCGTCATCAGTGTGGTTTTCGTCACTGAAGTGGACCCGAGCGTTTCTGTGCCTCACGCTGGGGAAGGAGACAGATTGCTCTCTTACAAAAGATTGACAGAATCAATGAATAAACTACTGTGGGCTTGTGTATGAAGGCCAAATAGCTTTGTAATCATGTTTAAAGCAGAGAAAAGTCAAAAACCGTGATATGGGCCCTTTAACTGTTTATTTGTATAACGAATTCTCACACAAGGCAACACCTAGTGCTTAATAAAACTAGATAGAAACAGTCACTCAAGGCATTCAAATCATAAATAATCACACAAAAAATAGTGACCCTACAATCCCGCAGTTGTATACACAGCTAAACACAACTGTTTTAAGCTGGATTTGAACATTGTCAGAGTATGTTCAAATGATATGGGGCAGAAAAGAGGTGCTGATGTGAAGACCTGAGACTGTTACCCCGGTGACGATGTCTGTACAGAAGGTCAGACAGAGAAAATAATACATGTTTGTCCCCACAGAGAGGGTCTTGTAAAAGTAAAATGTTGCCGTTTTTACCTCATAAGAATGTTCTATGTTTTTATGCGTATAAGAAAGAGCCCTGTGAGTCACTGGTTGACCTTTTGGGGGGAGAGCTGAGAGAGTGAGGGCGGCTCTCTTGTTTTAACTTTTATGTCTGAAAAATGCTGAGAGATTGAGGTCAGTAAAAAATGCATGTGAAAACAAGTGATTTATGATAGTTCCATTTTAGTGACTGAGAGCTTACACAAACTTATCGCTTCCATTTTAGTGATTTTTAATGTTAGGTAACCCAGCTTTAAATCATGATACTAAACACTATTTATATGTTTATAGTGAATAAATCTATAATAAACTGAACAGACCTACCCATCTTGCAATTATAAATATTACGTATAAAAAGAACTTGGATGAACACAAAAGCTGCCATTCAAAACTGACTGATCTTTTCTGAAAAGTGAATCGCAAACAAACATCACCGAGTTACCATGGGAACGCATAAAAACAAAGCAACATGACTACCTCTTTTGGAGACTGTAATGATTACTTTTGTCTTCAAGCAGGCAGTACGCTAGAACAACAGCAGCAGCCCCCGTCAGGAAGCTGCTCCTGATGACAAAGGAAAACTTGGGCTGAGACTTCTAGACAAACAAGATAATTATCACACGCAGACACACGCACACACCGAGATTATGATTTCAATCCTGAGGAGGGAGAGGCTTTGCAAGTGTGCGGTCATCTGGTGCTTTTCCCCTGCAGCCGAGAGAGAGAGGGACTGCCCCTGATGAGCTGCTGAAAAATGTTGTTTACACTTTTAACTTGTGTGAGTTTAAATTGTCGTCTATTCAAGTGTTTGGGCAACAAGAGCCAACTCACTGGGGATGAGTTTAAGAAATGCTTGAAGAAAACTTTTATAAAAAAATGTGTTGAAAGCAATGAAAAGGTATAGAAACAAAATATTACTTCTTTCAACTTCCTGTTTCATAGTTCAAAGTTCCCTTTATGGTCCTTCTAGGGGGAAATGGTTTTGCAGCTAGCAAACATGTAAAAACGGGCCGACACTATAGCATCGACATTTTGATTAGCGATTGACCGATGTTGGACACCCTAGCTTTAAATGATGATAGTAAACAGCCACTATCTAGTTACCCCAAGCTTAAATTACCAAAATAACAAGCCTTCATCCCATCCTGGTGATACGGATGTAGCATCATTTTCATATGCTACCATGGCATGTTATACCTAATTTTAAACAGGTATGCTTTAGAAAAAACGTCCAAATCATCAGTCGTTCAAAATACCTCCATAATGTGAAAAAGTAAATGCAAAAGAGGAGCTATGAACAAGACTTCCGCTCAAATGACACAATAAAACCATGAAAAATGTCCTATTTGCTAACTAGGCATTAGTATTATAGCTCCTATCCTGTGTTTATTTGCAGTGATAACAAAATATTTATCCATCCATCCATCCATTTTCTTTCCCTTAATCCATTTCTGGGTCGGGGGGGTGGCAGTCAAAGCTGCATCCAGTACACATAGCACCATAGCAAAGTGGGGTTAAGTGTCTTGCCCAAGGACACAACAACAGCAGACATCAGTGGCAGTCTTGAAGTAGGTCTTGTGGTGGGCTCAAACCCACGACCTTCAGGCTCAAAGGCCAATGCTCTACCAACTGAGCCACTATCGCAAATAAAAAAATCAAATAATTTATATACATATTAAAATTGACCAGTCAAACTTTGAAAGAAATCAGCATTGGCCTCAGAAAACTTTTTTCGTGTTTTTTTAGTTAATAACTATGGCACGTATCTTCCTTTCTCAGGTAAAGCAGTTTTAAAAAGATTTACAAAGTATCCATTGGGGCACGAGAGTTCACGCTACGTCCTAATTGTAAAAGCTCCTCAAGGGGTAGACACCATTCTTTCAAACCCTGAAACCCAAATAAGGAAGCTGACCTCGCTGACTAGAACCTATTTCATTTACAAGTGTCAATCCAAGGGAGAGACGTTACATTTGCGGCGTTTTCAGCCCCACGTCTCTTCACACAGGTGCATATCCTACCTGTCAATCCAATTCACACCTTCTCACATCCGCTGCCAATGACCATTTTTAACTCTGATAAAACATGGCCACAAGCTCTCCACAAAATCACAAAAATCAACATGTTCTTGCTTAAAATAAAAGTTAAAATCTTCTAATTTTTACTTTACCTATGAAAAATAAGCTGCGACTTGAGGAATGTTGTGGTTGACTAAAAGGGCAAAGCCACGGTACAGTCTGTATGTTATGCACTGACCCTTTGACTAGGTAGCAGAAAGTTCCCCCATACGTATATATGCTCATGAGGCTCTACGGAGGCTGCTTGTCGCCTTCCACCAAGCCATACGGAAAGTTGTGGTCTCTCCCGACTCCTGTTATAAGATTTATCGAATCCATTTTGGACCTACAGTATACTGTGATTGCTGTTTTTGTTCCCCCTTCCAATGTATGCATCAAAATGTTAGCACTGAAATAAGTAGCATACGGTTATAACGACATATGAAGAAATCTGTAGCTTGTCGTCAACATTGTGTTATTGGCTCCAACTGATGCTTTATCATCACCAGGAGCCGAGCTTGTGTCCATTTCACTATATTATCATGAAGTAAGTAAGTCATCTTTATTTATATAGCGCCTTTCACAGACCAGAATTTGATTTTAGTGGTAGGAGAAACTGGAGCACCTGGAGGAAACCTATGCAGACATAGGGAGAATATACTCAGAAAGTGCCATGTTCTGACCTGACTCTTAGCCATCATGATCATTTGAAGTTTGTAACCCGCCAAAGAGGATAAGACTAGCAGATGTATTGAGGGAAAAAGAAAAATGTATTATTTGTAGTAAAAAGGTTTGGTACCCCAGCTTTAACTTTACCTGCTTTAGCCCTGTATTCAATCTGATGGACTAATATTGTCGTAGTTGGTACTTGCCTCGTGTGGAAACTGGTATTTCAAGGTGATATATATTTATTGTACGAACTCCTATAGCATTTCTTTACTGGTGTTCCACATACCATGCTGTGTCCATTTTAAAACCAATTTGTTTCTCAGACTGAAAGCATGCGTTGACTTGACATAGTGGCGTTTTGCCCCTGTTTTTGGTGGGTCGTTAGAAGGTTACCTGCAGCTTCTTGGCACTGGCTGCGGTTGATGTAGGCAAAGTGGTGATGGCAGCTCTGAGACTCGCACACACAGCCCTCTGCGGTCAGGTTACAGCCGGAGAACATGCAGGCAGGGTTTGAAGGGCCCACGTACTTGGTGTCCCTGTGCCGGTCCCTGTGCACGTGTCTTCTGCCCTCTGAAAAGCGATGACACACGGGTTAACAGGGCGGTAGAGGAGTCCATCTAGATACAGTGTTTTTAACAAATTGAGCTTTAAAGCAGCAGTAAGCGATTTTTGGGTGTTAACATACGTCTTAAATATTGATATATTCCAATAGCCATCACTTATATAGAGTGTTTGTACCTAAACACGGATCTCTCAGTCCTTCCAGTCTTCTCCCACCTATATAATAAAAAAACCTCACATCCTATGCGCTTATCCAATGACGAGAGAGCACGCCTTATAAGGGGTTTCTCCCGTGTGTGCACGCGCACTCTTCAAAACAAACATGGCGGAGAAGGAAAAGCCGCCTCCAGCGCTGCTGCAGACTAAATACCATGGCATGGATTTATTAAATACAGGCAAAACGCCAGAAACAGAGGAACGACAAAAAGTAGGAGCAACATGGTGACCAGCTGCATTCATGTTGGCGACCTCTAGCTCCGTGGATTCCTCTCTCCGACTGAACAGGTGAGCATGTTACTCAGTAGTGGCAGTAGTAGTTGTATTATTTATACATATTGTTGCCTGAGACTGTAATGCGGGTTTTCACCAAGTTAGCTTGTTAAAAATCCCCAGCTGTTGTAGAAATACGGCCGCATTTTGTGGCAATAACTGCGCATTACCTTGGCTTAGCTTTGAGAAACGACAACAGACAACACAACATCGAAGCCTTAGCCCAGCCTCAGCCATCCACAAACTCCGGTCTCGGGCGTTCTGCTCTCCCAAAATTTCATCCACTGAGCGGCGCTGTGATCAAAAAATGACACCGTTTGTTGCCCAGTTCACTTCCGGTTGATTTCATACAATGGCGAATATGGCTCACAAAAACAACAAACGATTGACAGTGCCTGAATTGCGTGAAAGGTTGAAGCGAAAGGGTATTTGCAGTGTGGGAAAACTAAAGGAGGAATTGTTGTTGCTAGTTCAACGAGCGGATGGTGTTTATGAAGATTTAGAAGAAGATGACAGCGAGCAGAGTGAACGAAAACGGCTGTGTGTGCGAGTGACAGATGGTAACAATGAGAATGAAGTTCAGCTAAGAGGGAAGAATGTGAATTGTACGGATGATTTGCGCGATATGCCACTAGTTAGAGACGGGAATGTATTTGCATAATGTAAAATGACGAAAACACTCAACCATTTAGAGAAAATGCGCCGGGCAGAGAGAACCGGAAGTTGCGAAGGCAAGTGTTACCCATAATGCAACGCAAAATTCAGTCGCTCCCCCGCCCATCGGATGGAATTTTGGGAGAGCAGAACGCCCGAATTATTAGTTCCCCACATGTACAAAATTAAATGACCATATCACCAGAGTTCCCCCGTGAAGTGGTGTTAGCATTAGCGTTCGCTGTTAGCATTAGCGTTCGCTGTTAGCATTAGCGTTCGCTGTTAGCATTAGCGTTCGCTGTTAGCATTAGCGTTCGCTGTTAGCATTAGCGTTAGCTGTTAGCATTAGCGTTAGCTGTTAGCGTTAGCTGTTAGCATTAGCTGTCTGTAGTTGTGAATATGATGTGGCTGCTACGATCACTTCTGATCTGTATGAATCGTTTGTTTTTGCCAATAAACATAGTTGCTTGCACTATATATATATATATATATATGTAGGTCTGCATTTCATTCTTCAATGACTAAGTTTTGCAACTTGCACTCTGTATATTAGTTTTATTGTTATAAAAACAATATCTCTTTACCTCAAATCTAACTTCCGTGACCACTACATACATTTTTATTATTATGTATTGAGAATAAGTAAGAAAAGTCTTGCTGACTACTACCAAATAAATTATGAGCATGATATAATATAGACATTGTAATAATTTACATGTCTTCATTGCATTCTTTTCTCTGTATCTTTTCCAGTATGGCCTAAATCAATTGGAATGAGGTCTTCAATGTACAAGAGTTCAAAAGCCTCCATAATGCAAGTTAAATAACTATTAAAAAAAAAACAATGCCATAACGACTAGATACTTTTCTGCTGACCTCTTCTTTCTCTAGTATTGACTGGGAAGACAAGACTTTGCTTCCAGAATTAGAAGAATGGCCATTGTCATCTCCTGAGGAAGACTTTACACCCCACATTTGTCATGTAGGTTGTTGTGAATGCATATATGGGACGCAGTGATTATGATAATGATGATGTTGTGATGTGCGTGTCGTTCATCCCTACAGTTGTGTTGCTGCCCTGAGGTCCAAAATGAATATCGATCATGTTCCAGGAGTCAGTGTTGACAAAACTGTCGCTGAGTTTCTTCAACAATCAAGAGGAGTGAGATAATCACTCGACTCCCAAAACAGCCGATGTAAGTGTCTTTCTCTCACAATGCACAGTCTCTCACAGTCCAAATAAACATGTTAAAGGATCCTGTGGATCAGGGGCCACTCCTGGTGATCAATAAATACTGATGTTGTTGATGATGAATATATCAAAGTCATAATTGAGTAGATAAAACTGATGTCTCTTCTATTATGTTTCAAAGGAAAATCTCTGCCAGAGGAAGACTCCAGTTCCTTCAACCTGGGCCCCTGAAGCGTGGCTGTCTGTGCGTGTGACTGTGTGTGCGTGTGACTGTGTGTGCTTGTGACTGTGTGTGCTTGTGACTGTGTGTGACTGTGTGTGACTGTGTGTGCTTGTGACTGTGTGTGCTTGTGGCTGTGTGTGCTTGTGGCTGTGTGTGCGTGGCTGCTTATGAATTATTTTGAGGAAATGTGTTCAAACAAGCTACAACATAAAGATTAACATTTTGTTAGATATCTCTGATAGTGTTCGCTGCAGCAGCGATGGATAAGGACCTGGATAATAACAGTGTTATTCATTTGAGCAAAAAGTGATAACACAAACGTTGCCTTACCATCACTTGTAATTATTTGTCTTAGTAGGGACATTGTGTATATTTTTCCGGCTATAACTTCAAATCTTCTTTTACATAATAAAGTTTCTTAGACTCGTTACAGACTGTATTTGTTTTCCTACTATAAAACAAAGCACATTGAAAGAGGTGAATGTATTTTTTTTTATTTTGAAATAGTACAACTACAAACATATTTCAGAACTGCAGAGTGGACGTGCACCATGGGGGCCGCTGAGGACGTGCACCATGGGGGCCGCTGAGGAAAGCACGTTTTCAATGTCTGTTGGCACCTTTCACAGACGCATCAGGGAAAGGATCTGGTCATCAGCTTCTCTGGACAGAGGGCGTTCAGTGCTTCCTGAAAGAACCGTTATGACAAATGACTTTATATATTCTGTTACTTGTAGCTTTTCTTTCAAAGTGGTGAGTTTCCTTACAGTGTAATAGTGTAACGTAATTAGTTATGACAGTACTTTTGCGTTTCGGACAAGCTTTACTGGAATTTGTTTTTCAGTCCCACATCTCACTGTACAGCTCTGATACACTTTGATTTTGTCTTCATTCTCTGAACAATAAGCACATAATACAGATGTTGATTACATCAATAAATGTATCTTTATTTTGTGACATTGAGAAGGCAGCTTCCAGTGAGATGCAGCTTTACTTTCACATAATACATTACTACAGTGTTGTCTATAAAGAACTCCAAATATACAAATTGTGAGGAAATAAGTAGCAGTAATGTATTACTTTAAATAACCTTCATGTAAAGCTTTGTTATGTATATGCATTACATTCATCTAATACATATGCACTGTAACAGATTAACATCTGTGCATAATGTTGAGACACGTCACACTGCAATCTGCAACATTATGTTTATCACAACAGTTTTCAGTGTACCAACTATAAAAGCAGTATTATTCTATAAAAGACTGGATTGTTTTAGCTAGGTTACAACTGAGCTATTCTATGCTAATATTTCACTCCCAGAGTTTGTTGTTAATATACTTACGAGTAGACCTGACGGAGATGAACATGCTGCTGCCATCACCAAGACGATGCGCGTTCATGTGGTGTGACGAGGAGACGGGGGCGGGGCTAATAACTCGCTCAGGCAGAAGAAACTGCCGGAAACGACCAAATCGCTTACTGCTGCTTTAAGCCATGTTACAGCATTGTTTTGTATTAAAAGAAAAAAACATAGTAACAGGATCAGGAGCTTCTGATGCAAACATGTGACTCCGCCCCTTTTGCCAAAATGCTCCTGTCTCAGTTCTGTAATGTGCCCTTGTAAGGGACCGATGGTGTAGCAGGAAACACACAAACTGTTTAATTACTAAGGCTTTTTAATTAGCCAAAAAATGAGCCAAACAATACAAATAAATGAGGCCAAAATCAAATGTACAACTGAACATGACAAACACTGACCTAACACAAGACACACCAGGGGAACATTTAAGCTGGATGATCAGACCAACTATTAACTAAAGGGGGTAAACAAGACTACACAAAACAGATACATTTACTTAACTAATTAAGGATAAAGTTAATTTTAATAATATGACTAATAATAATAATAATAATAATAAAATGCTAATATATGCTTATACTGAATATTAGAATATAAACTCAAATGAATCTCCCCAAACATCCCCTCTTCTGGACCTGCCATGGTTCAGGCCATAGGGTGGAGCCTGGAGGTAACACCCTCAGCTGGAGTGGGTGGAGTCAGCTCACAGGAGTGTTAGCTCCAATTGTGAGGGAGGAGTCAGCCCTCACATACCCCCCCTCTTCAAAATGTTCACTGTGGCTGCGGGAAAGATAGTCAGCGGTGTGGTTCTCCTTTCCGGGAATGTGCTGGACCACAAATCTGAACGGCTGCATTGCGATATACCATCTGGTGATTCTCCCATTGGTGTCCCGCATCTTCTCCAGCCACTGCAGAGCCATATGGTCTGTCTGCAAGACGAACTGACGTCCCAGCAGATAATACTTAAAGGAGTCCAGCGCCCATTTTATGGCCAAAGCTTCCTTTTCAATGGTTGCATACCGCACCTCCCGGGGGAACAGCTTGCGGCTTATGTATGCAACCGGGTGTCTGTCTTCCGGCGGTCCTTGCAGCAGCACCGCTCCAATGCCCCGGTCCGATGCGTCTGTTTGCAAAACAAAGTCTTTGTCAAAATCCGGACAGAGCAACACTGGATCCTTACTCAAGGCTTGTTGAATGTCCTTGTACGCCGCTATCCTCTCTTCTGTCCACTTCAGCTGATTCGGTTGCTGAGAGCCAGTCATATCTGTCAGAAGTGCCGCTCGAGCAGAGAATTGTGGGATGAAGCGATGACAAAACCCGGCCATCCCTAGGAAAGACCTTAACTGCTTCCTAGTTTGTGGCAATGGACAAGATGCAATCGCTTCAATCTTTTTAATCTGCGGTTTGATTACCCCACCTCCAATTATGAAGCCAAGGTACTGGGTCTCAGCCTGGGCCAGAGAGCACTTTGCTGGGTTTAATGTGAGACCAGCTGCCTTTAGAGCTCCCAGAACCTTTGCCAGATGCTCCAAATGTTCCCCCCAGGTGGTACTGAAAATAACAATGTCATCCAGATAAGCACAGGCATACTCTGAATGACCACACAGTACCTGGTCCATCAATCGTTGGAAGCTTGCTGGGGCGCCATGGAGACCAAATGGCAGAACCGTAAACTCAAACAATCCCCAGGGTGTGCGGAAGGCCGTGAACTCCTGTGACTGCTGTGCGAGGGGAACCTGCCAATAACCTTTGCAGAGGTCAATGGTGGTGAGGTACTTGGCCTTTCCCAGTCGCCCAATCAGGTCATCGACTCGGGGGGTTGGATAACAATCAAACTTTGAGACAGAATTTAAGTACCTGAAGTCTATACAGAACCTGATCGCCCCATCCTTTTTAGGAACCAGCACCACAGGATTACACCATTCACTTTCACAGAAATCACTTTAGTATTTGTACTCTTCTCATCCGTAGATGTTAACGTTTGTCGTGGCACAAAGCACATCTGTGTGAATCTAGCTGGGTTCTTTGGGCACACCGGCTTAGTATGGCCTTCTCCACAAAGATAACAGATGGGTGTTTTGTTTAACCTCGGCATCAGGTTTGTATGTGGCCCCGTTGACTGACCTTCACTTGAAGGCATTTTACTAGGTGGTGCCCTCTGGTGGTGCGGTGGAGGTAGCTTCCGAGCTTCTCTCCCAGCCTTCCATGCGGTATTGGTCCAGGATTGATTTTTCTTCCGAGCTGCCACAAACACCTCTGCCAGAGTGGCTGCGTCTGAAGCAGTCTTGGGGTCATGCTCTTTAATCCAAACCTGGAGCTCTGGAGACAACATCCTCAAATACTGTTCCATTATAATCAGTTCATTGACATCATTCACAGTTTTGCATTTAGGTTGGATCCATTTCCCATATAACTCTTTCAGTCTTACATACAGTTCTTTAGGGCTCTCTCCTGGGTCAACGTTGAGAGACCGGAACCTTTGTCTGTAGGTCTCTGCATTTATATCATACTTTTGTAAAATAGCCATTTTAACATTTTCATAGTCATGGGCCTCATCCATATCCATGTGCACATAAGCAGCTCTAGCCTTCCCAGTGAGCAAAGGAATAAGCCGGAAAACCCAGTCCGTTTGAGGCCATCTACAAACTACTGCAATTCTTTCAAATGTTATGAGATAGTGTTCAATATCATCTTCACTTGTTAACTTTTCAAGCCTTGGTTCATGAAATGATTGAGACTGACCTGTGAGCACATGGCATGCTGTGGAGTCTTTAGGCTTTAGGCTTGTGTAGGCCCATGGGGGAGGAGCTTTCTCCTCTGCAGGACTGAGCATTGAGATTGGAGGCTCAGGATCAGGTGCAGAGCGTTCCTGCACCTCTTTCTGAAGGAGTTGAAATTGCTGTTGTAAAGCTTGAAATCTATGTTCCTGTTGTGCTCTCTCTCTTTCCCGTTTTACCTCTTGCTCCTGCTGCTGTCCCATAAAGGCCTGTAAAATACCTGCCAGGTCTGAAACTGTTGGCTCCCTGCTCCCAGCCTCTCCTTTTGCTCTGGCTCCATTTTCCTCTTCATTCACTTCCTCTTGACTTTCTTCAGATTCTTCTCCATGTTCCACTATTGTATCAACTTTCCCAGCGGTTTTAGCTCCACCTCGGGTGACGGGCTTGTCTTTCCCCATTTCTCCCCAAAAAAAATATGCAGGAGGATCCAGGTGGAAAAGTACAAAAAATTATCAAAACAGGTGTGTTCTTGACCAGATCAATCCCACCGCTGCCACCAAATGTAAGGGACCGATGGTGTAGCAGGAAACACACAAACTGTTTAATTACTAAGGCTTTTTAATTAGCCAAAAAATGAGCCAAACAATACAAATAAATGAGGCCAAAATCAAATGTACAACTGAACATGACAAACACTGACCTAACACAAGACACACCAGGGGAACATTTAAGCTGGATGATCAGACCAACTATTAACTAAAGGGGGTAAACAAGACTACACAAAACAGATACATTTACTTAACTAATTAAGGATAAAGTTAATTTTAATAATATGACTAATAATAATAATAATAATAATAAAATGCTAATATATGCTTATACTGAATATTAGAATATAAACTCAAATGAATCTCCCCAAACATCCCCTCTTCTGGACCTGCCATGGTTCAGGCCATAGGGTGGAGCCTGGAGGTAACACCCTCAGCTGGAGTGGGTGGAGTCAGCTCACAGGAGTGTTAGCTCCAATTGTGAGGGAGGAGTCAGCCCTCACAGCCCTATTGTTAGTTACTTAGTTATAAACTTTCAGAATTATGAACTTATGTGTTTGTAAGGATGGATGTGTTTCTGGTGCACCTGAAGTTCTCCTACGGGGAATCAATAAAGTCTATCTAATTAGTATGACGTCAGTGTACTTCTATGACATCTTACTCTAATACGTACTCTAATGACCATACATATGTTTTGGTAGATTCTCAAGTGAAATTATGCTTTTTGCAATCTCATATAGCGACAACTACCGGCTATGTTTTTAGCTGGTAATTTTCAAAACTGGAGAAGAAAAAAAAACACAAACTCAACCCTCCCCCTGGTGGTGGCACAGGGATAGGGCAGTCCCAAAACATTTTTACCCTTCTTGTTTTGATAGTGCACCTTTACCTTTAGATTCTACTGAGGATATGATTTCACAGTCTAATAGATTAAATGAAAAAGTTAACAGTTTCCGTTTGTAAGGTTTTAGCCCATCGCCAACACAGTACACATCTATCTAAAAGGTCTGGTTTGAACTTGGACAACCTAACTATTTCACAACAATAGGGCTGCAACTGATCGCAATTAATCTCGGTTTATTATTTTGATTAATTGATAAGATTTAGAATGCTGGTACCAATAAGTGAATAAAAAGAACCATAAGTTAAAGATTACAGTGAAATGGTATATGTGAAAATACAATAGACTATGCAAGCCATCCATCTTCAATGTCTGAGGAATCATCTCTGTGAAATGTAAGTCTCATTGTATCACTCTTTGAAGCACATCTGTTCTGGATTAGCTCTTGTGAATGGACAGCATTATTCCCTGGGTCGGTGTGATGTGATGTGAGCCCACCTGACTGGCTGGCTTTCATGCAGCTCTCCCGATCTGAGAAAGTGAAGAAGGCCAGGCAGGAGTGTTGGGCGTCACACACACAGTGGCCCTCCACGTGGTCACAGCCGATGATCAACGGGCAGCGTTCGTCCTCCAGGCCGGCCACCAGGTGATCGGGGAGCGCTGTGGGGGACACGGGGGTCAGTGTGGTTCAAAGCTTCAACAGGTGAAACGATTCAACCATATGAGTTTATACTGTCTCACATCATGCTGGAGTACCTAGCCGTTTTTGCTTCATAATTACATGTTGTTTGTCCCAAAAGCAAGTCTTGTTTAAGTAACATTTTGCAAACAAATCTGACCATAACATGCTGTATTCATCTTATAAAGACATAATTTAAATACTGAGAGCTGATTGGCTGAGTGATGGCAGGTACTGATCTAAAGATGTGGCAGAGGCCAAAAGTACATGCGTGTGAAAGCTTGTAATTTAATAGTTTTTGGAGCAAGGAACTAGTCTTGGATTTGGATATGTGGCCCAAGAATAGGACCTAGAGAAGCTCAAAGTTCCCCAGGTTGTTCATGTATTTATGTCATTATTTCCTTTCCAGTATTTTTTGCATTCTATTGGACCGTCTTATCATTGACAATTTCAATGTATCACTTTAAATCTGAATTTACGTCAATGTATTGTTGTACACATACAGTATATCTACAATGTTGTATGAGTAAGTAAGTAAGTAATCTTTAATGATGTTGTTATAAGACACAGCAGTAGTCACCAGTCCATCCAAAGTCAAATTTACAGTCAGTGTTGCTGGGTCCCTCCCCTGCGCTCTGGTGCCTCAATACTTGTCTCATTGGGCCCATTAGTTGGCTTTTGTTCCGCAGTGTGGGGCCCTCCCTGGGTCCTCATGTCACTGCCGCCTCCTGTGCCAGAAACACCACTTACACCACGGACATGGTGCATCAACGTCTAAGCCCTATTTGGACCAAATCTCAACCTCTCAATGTTCAAGGGGTCTTTTATGCATTCTTTACCCTTTTATAAACACATTGCCCCTCCTCATAGTGAGGATTGTAACAAGGGGCATGTCACAATACAGAGCTGGATGTGGCTGGTGTGTCTCCTGAGAAACTACTACTTTTATTGAGTGGTTTATTTTCCACGACGTACGACACAAATGCAAAATCTACTACTAGCTTAAATGAAGAATGAAGACTGACCTCACTTGTCATGTATCAGTGCAATAATGTCAGAATGTGCAATATGGGACCACATGTGTCCAGCGTCACTTTACTTACTCACTTTTAGCCTCATGCTGCTAACGTGTAAAGTAGTATCATCCTAATGCTGCTAACAAGTACAGTAATATGATCCTCATTCTGCTAACATAAGATAAGATAAGGTAGGAGGACTTTATAGATCTCACACAGGAGAAATGTACATGTCACATCTGGCATGGATAGAAACACTCAAGATTGAGCAAAAGAAAGAAATGTTAAATGCAGGATAAATTATGTACAATAAAAACAGTGGCAATTCAAAAGTGGCAATCAAGAAACAGTGTCAATAGTAGTGCAGGTTTTTTCAGTCCTAATGCATGACTTAAAGTGACTTAATGTACAATCTGACAGCGGTGGGGATAAAGGCCTGCAGTAGTGCTCCATCTTGCACTGTACATTAGTATTATCTTAATGCTGCTAACATGTACAGTAGGATCATCATTGTGAGTATTTAAACCCCCTCAGAACTTATGCCTTATTACAGATATATCTACAGATGTACAGTATATAAACATAAGTATATTTTTATTTGCATACAGGAGCATAGCAGGTTTATACTTTACATACTTTTTTCCTATATTAAAAAAGATAAGATTAATACTAATATTCATTTTGTGTTGTGTGCATCTCATTCTTACACTTCTGTATGTGTTGTAGTGAGGCAACACTTAAATTTCCCCACTGTGGGACGAATAAAAAATCTCCAAATCTTACTATCTGGTACAGCAGCAAGAATCTTCCACACCAGTAATATTCCCCCCAGAGAGACAGTCCTCGTTCACACACTATCATGTTGCTACAGGAGCTCCAGTTGGACACATCATACAATGGTCCTTTCAGGTTTTCGGGCCACGTCTTCCACCTCTAATCATAGACTTCCTTTCCATAAGCTTGCATGATATGGATATTTCCACCAAATGGGTTAGGGTTAGGTAAGGGTTTCCTATTGAAAATATGATTTGATCTTTCTTCTGTGACTATGTAGGTGCTTTTGTTTGCGCGCGCTCGTCATGTGTCTTGCTTGGGATGCCCAGCAGCTCTCTCTGCATTCAGTGGCAGGACAAACTGTAACACTAGCTTTAACCTGAGTCTGTGCACTTAATAGCTCCTCCAGACACGCAGCCCTGCACTGAAAGCTTTTCAGTCAAGCGCACCCAAACCTACCCATGATTTTCTTTCACTTAAGATAATGATGACTTTTTTTTCCAATCACAAGACATTTATTACTGCCATTTAGGCTTCTTCCAGCAAAAATTGTCAAAATAAATATGAATATCCAAATAATCAATCATATAAGTAGCTATTCATTTCAGTGAGGGGTGTGAACGTGTTATCAAATAATTGGAAAGATTTGAATAAATATTGGTTTCGGGCAAATATGAAAATGTATTGTATGGCAGAGATATATATTAATAATCTCAAGATTCAGATTCAGATTCATTTATTTGCCATTTGCAGTAAAACCACATTGGAAAAACTGTGCAAGACTACCCCGGTGTGCACACACACCAGAGCTCTTGCCACGGCGCCATCTTTACGGCGCCATGCGTTTTTTTTTTGGTTTTTTTTTTCAGGAGTGTCCCAATCCATAACCAGTTTATCCTCAGTTACTTTTACACAGAGTAATGATTCAATTCAAATCAATTTATTTTGTATAGCCCTAAATCAGAACAGAAGTTATTTCTGAGGACTTTACAATTTTGTTGATTCGCCAACACAGATCAGAGAATCAAACCGTTCAAACACAGGGAATGTGGTGTTATAAAAACAAACACTGAGCCATTGGTCCTTAAGGAGCAGATGACCAGTGTCCATCAATGATAAAAGATGTTCATAAATGTCCTTGTCATGTCCTGGATCATCACCACAAAAACCCAGTGGGAAAAAGTAAGGAACCTTGGGGAGGCCCACATAATGAGTAAAAAATAGAAATAAAATTTGCCAATTAAGCCAAAATCCCTAAATACACTGTACACAAGCCTGTGACGACATGCATTTTACAAAACAAAAACATAATCCTTGCAACTATTTAAAATATTCATATTGGGATCTGCAAGTATAAGTCATCAACCACAATCACAACAGAAGAATGGGTAAAACTGTATCACTTAAGCCCAAAAGTATCCACATTGTGGTTTATGAAGAAATGCTAGTACAATAGAAACATCGGTAGCTGTCTGTGAGGATGTGCCCGAGCGGAAAAGAAGGAAATACTTGAAACACGAATATGTCTTTGCAAGTAGACACCATTTGTTTAGCTTGACCCTGTAAGTCACGCCATGTCTAGCCCAGTCACCAATGAGCTTCCCTGGCATGACTTCTTGCCAATGGTCGATCATGGCGAAGACCCTGGGGGATTCCTCGGGTCTTTGTTCTAGAGAGACGCTGCTTGTCTTGGCATCCAGAGTTGGGATGGAAAGGCTGACCTCTGGAGGCCCCCCCAGCTGATAGTGAGCTAAAAAGGAAGTCTTTGAAATGTTAGATAATCGTGGAGGAAAAGGACAGTCTGTGCGGACTATGACATATTAGACAGACTTTCTGGAATGGTGGTATTTTAAGTGTTTGTGGAAGCTCAGGAAGGCTTGCGTGGGTGGAAGGACGCAGGGCAGGACATGAAAACAAAGCATTTATCTGGCGAAGACCAAGAGCTTGCATCTGACTAACAAGTTGGACACTCGAGATATGGGCGAGCACAAGACCAGGACTCTTCATACTGACTTTAGACACTGTGATAAATGATTGGACCATATTCAAGGCTGATAATCAAAGTTCAAATATTTTCATATCTCAAATATGTCGGACCACCATCATGTAAATGCTAGGGCTATATCTCTCTGGTATCCGGTTTGGTATGTAGTTCAAGGTAATGGTGGCTGATAATGACACAATCAGTATCTAAATATTTTGGAATAACTTCATTGAGAATATTTTTATGAACTATAAGAAATTAAACTCTCTTGAAGTCCTGTGATGTATGGAGTGAAGCTTAAGTTGTGCAGGGCAGGGCCTGGTTAGTACTCTGATGGGAGACCTCTGAGAACACTGTCAGTGTACCACAGGGCAGCTGTGGCTACAGTAGTAGTTTATCACCACTGTGTGGAGTGAATGAATGATGACATGAGTGTCCTGAAAAACGCTATACAAATCTGATGTAATATTATTATTTTTTTTAACCTAAATCTTATTGCCGTCTACACAAATATTACACATTTGTTTTCCATACATATACAACTATTGTAATTATTTAACCTCATACACCTATACACATTAGATACTCAAAAAGCCGTCCAAGGAATGTCACCATTATACACTATCGAAAGTGAAAGTCAATCACTTTTTGAATTGTGGAAAGAGAAGTTCTTTTTTGAGCAAGCATCAATAAGGCCCGCCAATTCTAACCACCACTGCTTCCTGATTGGATCTAATTAATACAATCGTTAAAACAAGGCCTATTGTCCTATTGCAAATCCAACTGTTATGCCATGGAGAGAGACTGAATTAAATACATTGTTTCTGATTTGTTTTACTTGATTTGTGACACTTCAAAGTAAAAAATATATACATTTTATATATATGTATATTTATATAGTGAAATTACAGACATCATGGTCTGTAATTTCACCTTTAAAGGAGTTACTCTCTTTGTCTAGAAAAATCTCTGTGGGAAAAAGGTGAGAGATTGTGAGAGACCATGATTAACCAAATTATAGATTTGAGGTTTATTGGCAGTTAAACAGGTGTGCATAACAAAGTGACCATTGCATTCTAGTAAATGTCCGGTCCACTGACTGTTCAACCAATTCTACAGGGGAAACAAGCTCGAAACATTTAGTCATCTGTAAAGTTACGTTCTAATGAACCTGTGCCATAATAAACATGATCTTTAGTGAGTGGTAGGCCAGTCACAATAATGATACATTTGACAGACAATACATTCCTTCTGTAAATGATTACGATAAACGATAACATTAAAACTAGTTTAAGCCACTGATGAGAGTAACAGCTGGATAATCCCAGAATATATCTCATTCAAAAACATGCATTATGAAAATCTGAAGGAACTATGTACCGTTTGGTCATTTGAAACCCTCCAGAGCAAAAAAACGTGTTAATTCTGCAAACAAATGTAAGTATTCTCTTCACTTTTGCAAAGAAATGTAGAAACTATGTTAAAGTCTATATAACAATTATCGTAACAGACCTAGAGAGTAGTGAGAACAATCTCTCTTGGACTCATCAACAATGAAAGTTCAACATTTTTCTGACTAACGTAACAAATGAGATTGATTTAAATGATGACGAATTCACTGTTCATGCATTCCAAGCTATTCATTTTGATTAGAAAACTTTGCAAACATGAAAGGATTAATGCTGAGTGATGCAATAATTCTGGCAGTAAATGTCCCCATACGATTTCATGTCCAGCCAACTGTGGATCAGACGCCAACATCCCATCAAAACTCCTTCCTTGTGGAGCTTACACTGCTGCTGCTGCTTTCGTTCCCAGCCTTTTCCTTCCAACTATTAATTAAACTATTATTGCATTGATCAATTCTCCTAGACTTTCGCATACATTCCCAAATCTTCGCGCGCATTACTTAAGCAAATGAAAAGTTATGTTCTCTAAGTCGTTGTGACAGGATTGGCGAGAAACCCAAAGAATTATCACTTTTCACACAATTCGTCCACTTTTAGCAAATCCCCCAGATTAGCCTATTGAATAACATTTCCGTCCTTTCCCACATAAGCGCCCCAAATGCCTGCATAAGTGATGTTCCAATACGTTTCAAAATCGCATCAACAACTGCACCGCTGCCAGTTCGCATCATACGCAACATGTCACTCGCGAAATGTGGCCGCTTCGCACTTTGAGGGTCCAGGCCACCCAGAGACGCCGAACGGAAATATTTAGCCCCCTTTCTTGATTGCGAGTATAATCACTTGAAGCTTGAGGAGGGAAATCTGGGATCAGCCCGCAGCCCGAGCGACTATACCACTGAAAACACTTGCGGTGTTTGCTTACCCCCATCTGAAGGCGCTCTGGGATGTGAAGGTGGCGCACATGTGATTTAAGGGTTCACGGCGCGCAAAAGGAGGGCCCCTGGAGCTACTGGGCCAGAGGCACGGCTCAATCAGACCAGCTATTAGCTCTGTGGCTATGTGTGGCGGCTCGTTTGCAGGGTAATTAACAGCAGTTGACAAGCAGGCTGTAAATGAATGCTCGATATATTTGGCCTTCCAGTTAACAATATGCACCCCTGATACTGGAGTCGGACCTGTTTTTTCTTCTCAAGGCCCATTGACTCATATTGGGTATCGGCACATATTGAAATCCATTGTATCAAGATCGGTATTAGACATAAAAAGCTGGATTGGTACAACTCCAGTAATAATTCTGTTTTACTGGCTGGTATTAGCCCAGGATGTCATAGGTTTTAGAAAGTAGTTCTGCTGTAACCCCGAGATCAATGGCTAGTTTAAAAAACAATTAGACATGCCACAAATGTATGACATCACAGTGCAGATAACACTATGCACCAATATGATACAGGACTCGGATATTGGTGCCAATAATGGACGTTTTGTTGGATCGAGGGGTCGTAAGGGTTTAATGATGATAGGTCAAGCTAATGCAAAGTTGTTCTGTAGCAACTTGTGAGATAATTTGCATTTTTTACCTGTGGTTTTTCTGATATATGGTTTTTCTTCAGATATTGAAAGCCACTGTATGGAGATCGGTATCAGACATAAAAATGCTGAATTGGTTTAACCCTATAATGATAAATCTGTTTACAGGCTGCTATTAGCACAGCATGTCATATACAGTGGGTTTCAGACTGTATTTTGTTGTTACAACAGGATCAACGGCTATAGTTCAAAAGACAATTGGGCCGATTCGTAATAAATTGATAAGATTTTAGAGGAGAAAAATACTGTATTCAATCCTCCTCTAGATTAAGAGGTGTGTAAATATTATCAAGTACATCAGCTTTATGGGGACCTCAACCTCCAGTGGGTTTTTTTAGTTGTTCCTTGCCGATACAGGGGGGATAAGGACAGGGGTGATCCAGGACATTTAGGAAGATTTTATCCCACTACCCTAGGGACCAATGACTCCTTTGTGTTTCTTAATGGAGCATCATTGGATTATTTAATCTGTTTGGCGAATCAACAATTTTGGGGCAACCGCTGTTGTGAATTAGGCATATAAAAAAGCAAAGACAGATTGAATTAAAATAAATGAGAGAACGACATATGAGACCAACAGCTCTTGCTTCAGATGAATCCAGAAAAGTACTAATAAACTGTAAATGTATTGGTAAAAAGACTATAGTCATACTTATGCTTTTAACTATACCTCGTTCTTTCTACTCTGGTTCCTGAATCCTCAATCAATCATCCAATTCTGTCAAAGCGCTCTGAGTAGTATTACCCATGTTATTAATACTGGAAGTAGACAATATTGAAATTATGATATTTCTGTAGCTGGGAAAGATAATGCATTATCAATATCAACTCAATACAACACAGACAACAATCCAAGCTCATTTATCATCCAGCATAGCCCTGTACTCTAGGGACAGGGCTCACAGACAGACAATGCCCTATGCAGACATCTTGGATACTTGACTTTGTTACTGTCGACTCCAGACCTGCCAGTCCCCTTCGATCATCCAGACAAACTGCAGGTGATACAACCGTCGGGTCCCCTTAGCACTTATTCCTCTGGGGAACACTACTTCTGCTGCTACTGCTGCTGCTGCTTCCGACTACTCCACACACAAGCCCCTCGACACCTGGCTCTTGGACGTTTGGAAAGTTCGTTAAATTGTGCATCAAATGAGAATATTCACTTCAGTGGTAAACAACAGTGCAGCAGTGTTCCTTTATGGGGGGAAAAAAATCAATCGGGAACTAACACAAAAACAACACATCTCAGCAAACAAAGCAAGAACTGTAAAACCTCATCAATGATTGGGCAACGATAAATGACGTCCTCATTCTTGTGTGCGTCTGGGCCAAACTCCGGCTATTGTCATGCCCCGAGGAGAAGGCTGATTGAATAAAGCGTTTTTTTCTGAGGACTCGAGGCTGTGTATGACTGCTCCACTGGCAGCCAAGAGCGCTCAGAGCTGCACGCGGCCAGGGACAAGGTAAACACTCCCATGGCCAGCCGAATAACTGACAACTGAATGGTTATGTTCATGAACCACTTAAGAAGCTGAGCCGCTGCCATACAGGGGAAAAGAGACTGTATTATGGAGATGGAGGACTATAACCTGTATCAAAAAGGATGTGTGGGTGGAACAGGACTGAAAGAACCTACCGTCACTCGCAATTAGCTCCTGGAAAAGCACATTAGGTCTGTTTCTTGGATCCCCGTTAGTCCTTTCAGTAAGAGATATATCACAAAAGGTTTCAATACAATCTAATTCAATCTTGTTTCCGAGTACAACAGCCAGAACATGTGAGAAAAGGTTACAGTATTTCATCAACTACTCAGCAAAAATGACAGATTGTAATTCAAATGAAAAAATCAGGTAACTTGCATTCTTTACATTTGAACAGCCTTTTTTAAATCCTTATTTGTTGATAATAAAAGTCAATCTTCTTGCTCATGTATGGTCTGTACTGCCAGCTCTTTCCTCAGGCAATGTTATGTCTTAATGTTTGGCATCTTATTTGCAGTTTACTATATTCAATTCAATCTTAGTCAGAGTTTATAAGGCTTACTGCCAAAGCTCTACCATGACATAATACTTGAAAATATATTTTAAACAAGCAATTATGGAATCACTTGACAAACCTTCAACAGAGCAGAGAACTTTTGCTCTGCTTTAGGCTGTGATCAATCTTCCAACTTTTACGCATAACATTCCAAAAGCCTTTCATACATTCTATTCCAGACTGTACAACGAACAATGAAGACTGATGGAACGCTGCCGACCTGATCTCACATGTCATGTATTGTGCAATGATGTGTAATAACGTGCAATATGGGACCGCAACATGTGTCCACTGTCTCTTAGTCACTCTTAGCCCAGAGCCATAAATGCTGCCAACATGTACAGTAGTATCATTACTGAATATTTGAACCCTCAGAGCTACCAATAATATCGCACTAGAGTGATTCACAGATTTATCTACAGATGAATACAAGCACACATTCATTCGCAATAGAGTACAGGTTTATAATTTTATACGAGAATAGTTTTTACTTTATTTTTATTAAGCTAAATATAAAGATGTATTGTATCTATTTCAAGTACAAACTTCAAATTCACTTGTGTTGTGTGCTCCTCATTCCTACTGTACTGTACTTGTGATGCAACACTGAAATCTCATCTAATTCCGTATTATTTGTATGTTAACAGATGTGTAGTATCCTATTATCCTCTGTATTTTATCCTGTAAATGTGTACATATTCACAGATATGTATATTCCTGAGTACCTATATCCAGATTATTCTATTCTCACAATATTATCTTATAATTATTTTCAGATTTTTACTTCATTGTTATTTTCATTGTTACATTTTTCTTGTGGAATATTATACAAGCCATTGTGACAACGCAATTTCCCTTGTGGATCAATAAAGTCTGTCTAAGTCTAAGTATCCATTCCCAGTATGTTCAAAAACAGCGCGTATCTCACCTTTACACACTCCAACCTCTGGGACGAGTGCAGGTCCAGTCCCATTGATGGCAGCGCAGCTCAGCCCCAGCCCGCAGTAGCCCAGGCTCCAGTCCTGTCCCCCGCAGAGCTCCCACTCCAGCCGCGTGCACAGGTCACAGCATCCGCAAGGGTCCCGGGCCGGCGTGCGTCCCCCCTCACAGACCCTCACCGGGCCGGCTCTGAGCGGACACACGCGTAAGTTACACGGCGTGCACTCATGGACAGACGCCGAGGAACGCGTGTAGTAGACCCCTGACAGCAGCAGCAGGAGCAGGACCACAACGCACTGGCTCAACATGGCTCTTTTACGCACACACACACAACAACACAAAAAAGACCCTCCAATTGTCGTTTTTCAAAATAGAAGCCGCATGAACGTATGTCTCCAAAGTTTGTCCCGTGAAGTTTTGGTGTAGTTCTAAGAAGAAATGAACGTCTCTCTGGGAAAGTGGAGAGATCCCCCAAAGATCCGCCTCATGTGGAGTCCCTGTCGCACGAGTGGCTGTGTGCTTGACAGCTACAAACGAGAGCGCATTCTGGGAGCTAAATTGACAAGCAGGCGCATAGAAATTGGCCATGCGACCCTCCCCTTGACTGACGCACGCAGCGGCCAATCACAAGCTGCGAGAGGAGGGAGGGCTTCCACGTTTTATATCCCCCACTAAGAAGAAGAAACCATGCTCCAGCGGGGTGCGCAATGATGCAACTTTTAATGTGTTCAATGCAAGTTTTACTGTTGGCTTTTATTTCGCAACTTCAGAGAGTTTCTTTCAAGGCGACTTTACAGCAGAACTTCTACTTTTAACTTCCCTTTAAAATGAATTGCTGTTCTAAAAATGGCTCTGATTTAAACTGCATTTACTGTATGGCATTGCGTGTTCATTTAGTCTCTTTGATTTATTTAGCGTCAACAAAATACGTGATGTGTTGAATCAAACATGTAGCTGATGCAAGTTTAAACATTACAGTAAAGCTGGGGTTCCTAGTTCTGTGTTTAATGAATCCTGCATGTTCATCCCAACAGAAAGAGTCGTGTAAAAGTAAACTGTCGTAAACAAATCAGACCACAACGTTTTATTATTGTGTGCTTGTGGAAAGAAAGACCCCCGTGAGTCACTCTTTAACTCTTTGGTAAGTATTTTTTTTATTTGTTTATTCGACAGGGATAGTTCATTAATGGACATCACTGTAAATGTACTAGAATTAACCAAAAGGCTATTGTTGTCCCTGGACAGATCTAACATGTCAAACTAAAAGCAAACACATATACAAACACCTATATACATAAAACAACATATCAATAAAATGAATATATATATGTAGAATAACAGTTTACATTTACTATATCCACAAACAGTTAAAGTTAGTGTTGCCTGTTTTGTGATGAACCATGATTTCAGATGGGTTTTGAACAGATTATATTCGGCTCTCTCATGTTTGGTGGGATGGCGCTCCTCCGGGGTGGGACAACATGGTCTCCTGTGTGCATGTGCATTTTCCTAATTTAGAAGGTAGCGTTTTTTGCAAAATGAAAAAGTGGGGAAATCTTTGTGATAAACGGTTATCGTTATACTCTGGCCTTTCACAGAGCGGAGTCACGCAACGCTTTACAATTGTTGTGAGCATTTGTCCTCTCACTCCACACATGGAAGTGAGGTCACCATACAGGACGAGCAGAAAATATGTCTTTTCCCCCAACAACAGGGGGCACCTGTGTCCATGCTGTGGAGCTGGTACTGAAGGCAAAGAGGTTGGGAACCACTGATACAGGATACACTGTCCTGTGGATCATCTGGCTCCATCTCGAACAGTGATCATCATAAAATCTGTCATCAAACCCCACACACTCGTATATCATTTCACTGTGTTTACTTCTGGAGGTGTGTGTGTGTTTGTGTGTTCGTGAATGTGTGTGCGTATGTGTGTGCTTGTGTTGTGTGTGTGTGTGTGTGTGTGTGTGTGTGCAGGTGGCCTCCACAGGTCAGAGCTCATGCCGTGTTTGTGTTGTTGCTTCCTGGGCAGATGGATGGTGTGTGTGGGTGGGCAGAGTTGGGCACAGCTGGAGTCAAGCGTCAAAGGTGCCACTGAAGAAACAAAACAAAAAGATTTCACAAACTAATTTATACAGCAGAATCGATCATAGAAATAGTGGAATTTTGTATATGTCTTTAATTGTTAGGCTTATTTTAGCTAATGTCCTACAGCTCCTCTTCTAGCTTTCAATAGACATGAGGTTCTTTAATTACCATACTTAGTTAGAACCACAGAATACACTTTAGCTCAATCCTATTCAATGCATATGATAAAACACTGAAAAAATAAATTAAGAGAACAATTTAGGTCCAATAATAATATTGAGAACCCTTTAGGCTAATTTCTTATTTGTCTAAACACAACATTCTATAAGCAAGAAGAGCACTCACCCAATGATATATTTTATTTTGAAAGAATAAGCGCAGATAATGAAAAAGTGTGTTTTTTGTACCTGTATCTTAAACAGGTATTTGCTTTTCTTTAGACAAGTCATTTACTGTTCAAACTATTATCCAATCACATAGACAACCAGAGGGCTTAGTCCAAAATGTTTACAGTTGAGTTTCAATTGGACCACTCTCACTTCCTCCATTAGATGTTGTCCTGGAGGATTTTTCCCACAGAATCCACTTCATTTGCAACATCTGCCCGGACCAGGCCTCTCCAACACAAGCTAGTCCAGGGAGGCGATGGAGGGGGTGTGAGTTTGCATAATGACGCTGGGTTATGGACAACTCTGGCCTTGTCTGACTGTGCCCCCCCTTCGCCTGTATCATCTCCTCTAAACAGCCTGAACAGCCTGGGGACCCACTGACCAGTGAGCAGACCACCACTGGGACCAGGCCAGGACCCCTGGGAGGGCCCTGTACAGCCTCACGTGCACTGAGGGGTTTGACCCTGTTTTCAAATAGGGCTAGAGGTCACCGCCAAGAAGCCGCTATCACGAGCCAGGAGCATGTGCTGCTGCTAACTCCCTGTGTTTAGTCCAAGTCAATCTCTGCATCTGAAAACTGTTGCAAAAGAAAATAAACACTCACAATATCTTACAAGCTGAAGTAGGATAAAGACATGAAGCTAAAAAGTAATTTAAATTTTTTTCTTAAAGCCTGGCGGATTTTCACAACATTGTTTACTGGAAGATACAATATTTCGGCAGCCCATTATATTACAAAGGATCAATACTTATTACAAAAAAGGATCAAAATCTTTCCACCTGTAACTAAATTGAATTGAACTTAATAATATATAGCACAAACATAACATGGGGCTGTCACTTCCAGATATGGACCACAGCGAATACCTTTTGTGTCACCTTTTGTTTCATGTGACGAGGTCTGATCATCTGCTTTACACATTTAAGTGTTACACATCCTTAATTCTCATAATTCCTAAACCCATTGATACTGAACTTGAATTATCTCAGTCAGATCTACAGCATATGCCTTCTCATAAATCGTGCTTTCACTGTCCTTCCTCTTGAAACTTTCACTTTGACCTCTGTCTGGATGGCTCAGTGACACCATGCAGCTCCAGATAAGCAAAAGCACAGTGATAACCCGCCTGTGCCTGGGCGCTGGACCCACGGACCCCCTCCACGTCCCCTACACTGCTGCTAATCAGGCGTGCGGCCCGTGCCCACTCCACACGCTCTCGCACACCTTCCTGCCCACGCGTCACCTCCAAAAACGCATTCCTTCAATGATTATGTGTTGTACGACCTCAGTGAAATCATTAACATAGACAGCCTGCTGCTGTAGATGACAATTCCTGTGGCTCGGAGGTAAAGCTGCGGTCATTAGCATACACAAGAGCCTGATCCAAGCACGTGTGGATGCCAGACAGTGTAGCATAGCCTCACAAAGCTAATTAGCCCAACAGGCTTGCAAGGGCACTTATGTGGAATTAAAATCAAAGCTGCATTGATGGATGGTGTGCGCCTGGTGTTAGGGAAGTCTTCCAAAAACAACAAACACACAACTCAGGACAGTGAACACAAAGACGCTCTTTTGGCAAGGTCACCACTCCATGTGCAGCAAGCCAACAGAGAAGAAGACAATTATATTTCCCTTAAAGTTTGGTCTCGTAATAGAATATGTGTCTTCTGTGTCCTGATGGTAATACTATAATCAACTCAAATCAACACACTTTAACGTTAACCCTAACCCTTTCTTCTGTGTATGTGAAAGATGAAAAATACCAAACAAATAATATTTGTTTTTTTAAGTGGTGGTTTTGAATCATAAATAAACCAATATTTCCCAGTGGCTCCTATTGTAACTGTAATGTAAATCAATACATGACTTTTCCACTAGTTTATACCAGTAATTTACAACTACCCAAGCAGTTCTTTTCCTGTTTCTATTTTATACATAATTGTTATAGTGGCATCATAGTTGTGACCAATTTCAATTATTTATTTATTATTATCTATTATCATCATTATCATTTGGGTGCTATGTGTACTGAGTGGGATCTCTGGCCACCCCTCTGGCCACCCCCCTGATCCAGAAGTGGATTAAGGGGTAGAAAATGTATGTATATACGTATCATTTTTATTGATAATATTATTTCTAAAGATATTCTATACTTTGAATATGTACTCCATACAAACAAGCACAAGAAAATGGAACAGAAGTTTAAACATTGAATTTTCTGTCATTGTCCCATTTCTATTGGAGTAGACCAATTCAATAAAACGCTGTATGTGAGAAAGAAAAAAAAACGATTCACTCATGACAGGTAAATAAAAATCCCAAAGGGCAGTATTTGGGTCACACAGGGCTTTCTTCAGGGCACACAGATCATGAGGTAGCAGCGGGGGGGTGGTAAAAAGCCTGGGTCCAGACCAGGCTGGGACCTCCTTTTTCTTTATTGTGATTAGAAAAAGGTTTTTGGCAGAATACATTTTACATTTAGCACCAGCCCCTAAATGTAAAATGTATTCCGACTGCCACCCCCCTCCAACCCAGAAATGGATTAAGGGGAAGAAAATGGATGGATAGATGGACGGACAGTTTTGCTACTTTTTGGACCACCGCTTCCCGCCTCCGTTTCCGGCCTGTGGCTCATAACTAACATTGTCTTTTAAAATATTTCATTCTTATTTTCCGTGAATAATTGTCGGTATACAGTATCATATGCATGTCTGAAATACATGTTGTGGCATGCAGAGCTGAACTTCGCATTCAAATCGTCGCACAAAACACAACACAAGGAGTTAAACGATCATACTGGCGCGTGAACAACAGTGGCTGAGAAACCTTT